CAAATTGTATTTGGATAACCACATAAATTAATTATTATATTTGGAGTTAATTAGATGATCAATGAGAGGTAATTTTTTTTATATTATTTTTTTATTTGAATATATAATTAGAAATGAGCATTTTATTTGTATTTGAAGAGTTTTCTTATTGGATTTTTTAGAGTTAATTTTTAAAAATATATTATATCGTTTTATTAAAACCAATCTATAATTAGTAACGTCATTTTATTTGATTTTTTTAACTTGATTTTATTTGCTAGTCGTCATTGCGAAATGCGCTAACGCGTCTTTTACTTCGTCAACCGCGCATCATAAAAATTATTATAGTTATCTCGTTCGTTTTTTTCCTTCTAGGGCTAATTGTAGAAAAATCCTCAAACTATGACTCTAACTTTAAGTTGGTTTTTAATTTTTAAAATATTTTAATTAAATCCTTAAAGTGTAAATAGCGTATCAACTAAATCATTATCACCCTAATTATTAGTTTGAGCGTTAAATATCGGCTCGGAACTAACATAAAACATATTTAAAACAATATGTGCATAGCAAATAGACATATTGATCTAACATGCTTAAAAAACAACCTTCTTAAATTTTTGCTAACATTATTTTTTGATACTAATCAAGCGACCTCAGTGATAAATGAATTGTTATTATTCATTGATGTCTCAGGTTCGAGCACAAATGTCAGGATGTGAGCGTTCAATGCCAAATGACTGAAAGTTTTCTTTGAATATATATTGCTTTGTACTTGCTCCATATTAATTGAGAAAACAATATTATTTTTGGGTAAATTACAAATTTGGTAATTGAACTTTACTCTCTCTCTTATTTCACTCACTATACTTTAAATCTTTTTAATTTCCTCACTAAACTCAATCCATTGAATTTATTGGTTACTCAGTCATTAAATAGTTAACAGTGTTAAAATGAGTTGTTATATAGATGCAAAATGACGTTATTCTAGTAAATATATTTTTTTTTAAACGACATCGTTTTTAACACCGTTAACTATTTAACGGCTGAGTGACCAAAATAGGAGAGAGGATGAAGTATGTGACAAAAAAATAATGTATTAAGTTTGGCGAGGAAAATAAAAACTTGTAAAGTTTAGTGAGTAAAATAGGAGGGAGAGTAAAGATCAGTGATGAAATTTGTAATTTACCCTTATTGGTTTTACACATCAAATATTGTTCATGTAGTAAACATACAGGTGCTTTAGATATAACCTTCATGTTTTAAATATATTTCACTTTATATCTTAAAATGCATTTAACTCTTACATTACCGATTAAAGTAACAAACAAACGTAATTGAAACAATATTGATAATTTAATAATTCAATTAAAAAATCTTAAAGTTTTTGAAACCATTTAAAGTATAAACGATAATGCGAAGAGAGTTTGACTAAGTTAATCACTGGATTATTTAAAAAAACTTAGTTCCCTATCTTAATGTAATTTTAAGAAATAAAATTCTTTTAATCATTGGTTTTTTTATATATTACTTCTTATTATTCTTCCATAAAACATATTTAAACTTAACCTTCTAATTACGATGTAATTAAGATTTAATCACATCTATCATGATATTACTTCGTATCCAATTTGAATCGATATCGAGTATACGTATAACTTTCGTGCTATCACATCCGCCATGGCGTTACACTCGTTTACAATTTTCATATTGAATGAAAACTGAAAAGATGAAAAACTACAGGGACCGAAATAGAAAATTTCCAAGAATATCACACAGAGGAATAACATGAAAATATGGTCCCGAAAAGAAAGGAAAAAATAATCAAAGGACCAAGTTGTCAAGTTGCCTTATCAACCTTTTCAAGTTGAGCAATTTGTCTCAAGTAGAGCAGCTTTCTCCCATCCCCATTTGTTGCCTCAGCATGGCAACTGGATTTTCATTTAATTTAGACCAATTTACATGTAGAGACGATTATTTTTATCCAAATAAGATGGATTTTGATTTAATTTAATATTATTAAATCAATTTTCTTTAAAAATCGAGTTTAGATTAAATTTTGTGAAAGATGATACTTTATGTGGAAAATTATCCTGTCAGAGATAATAATATTTTTTCTATATTTTGGATTATTTTTATAATACTTATTTCAATGTTTTTATAAAATAGATCTCTATTTTATCAAATAAAGAATAATTATTTTATATTTATATCAGATTATATATATATATATAAATAAGTTCCTATCATAAAATTTGAATTTAATTTGAAGTTACATTGATAATCGAGTGAAAAATATATATATATGATTATATTTAATTTTTGCAAGAATCGAGGGACATCAGTGGTAAATAAATTATTGTTATTTATTGAGGTTCTTAGTTCGAACACTAAGAATGTCAAGGGTGTGAGCGTTCGATGTTAAATGATTGAGAGTTATAAGAGATGACAATTTCATCCGAATCCGATGAGTTTGACCCTACTCGATCAATAGGATCGAATTTAAAAAAAACCAGGTTTGCGTTGTGATTTTTTTAGGGTGAGATTGGGTCTGGTCGGTTTCGGGTGGAGGATGAAAAAATTCTGATCCAATCCGACCCGGGGATATTAATATATTTTCCTTAAAATATTATTATTTAATTAAGTCCTTATTTTATATCGAATATGGTCGAGTTAGCTCGGATTTATACTCTAAAAATTTGGGTCACATCAGAGTTAGATGAAGGGTATGTATTTTTCGGGTCGGATCAGATCGAATGAAATATATAAAATTTTCGAGTCGGGTTGACCAAAAACCGACTATAGCCCAATCTCTTGTCATCCTTAAAAGTTATATTTGAACATATATTGCCTTATATTTACCCTATATAAAAAATACAAATTTTCAACAACAAAAAAATTCAAACTTTCAAAGTTTTAATATATGTATATTACGCCACTTAAAAGTATAATATCATATTTTAGACAAGTGTAATATAATTCGGTTAAAATTCTCATGATATATATATATATATATATATTGTACATAGTATTTTTGTCGAAGTTTGGGACATTATACTGAAAAATCTATTTTGGAATACACATGGTGCATTGTATGATACAGCTCAGCAAACACGTTATTTCGATAGAGAACTGGCTGTTAAGTTCCATACACTAAAAGACAAGTGTCCACTGTCCACGTCAGATTCAGATGTTCAACACAAAAGTGCGCGCGTTTGATCCGATGTTAATGGACTCATTCGACCCGTTTTATAAAGTGAATCAAACCCGGTCCAATTCAGCCGAATAGAGTTTATGAGCCCGCTCGAATGGGCTACTGACCCACTAATTTAAAAAAATTTAAACCAAACTTGCCCACTAATTTTTTTTAACCTCATATGTCTTAATATTAATTGATTAGTCTAATTCGGATATTACAATAATCTATTATGGAGTTGGCTTGTTTGGTATGCTCATCTGGACACCGCGGATTACATTTGGAGGCACCTGTTTGGTGTACTCATCTGGAGGTTGTGGAAACACCGGAACAACGTCGTCTTCAATGGTCAGATCGGAGCTATATCGGAAGCCATTAGCTCGGCTAAAACTTGGGCATGATGGATCAAACAAAGTCAAACCAAACCCCCCCCCCCCGCCATAAAGAAACAAGTTCTCAACAGAAGGAATAGGAACTGGATGCCTCCTCCGCTTGACTGCATCAAGTTGAATACAGACGGAGTTGTCCATCCTAGGACCATGGAGACTGCCAGAGGCGGAGTCATCCGCAACAACAATGGGAGTTGGATTCTCGGATTCTGCAGGAACATCGAGTGCTGCCCTGTTTTCCAAGCTTAGTCTTGGGCGGTCTTAGATGGTCTGGAGCTAGCCTGGAAGAACAATTTCCGTCATATCGAGGTGAATTTAGATAATATCGAAGTGGTGCGCTCGCTCAATTCTCCTCCTCCGCCACACAACATGAGCCTCATCAGAAAAATTCGTGATCTCCTTAGACGACCCTGGAGGGTCACGATCCACCACACCCCACGTGAAGCCAATAGGCTCGCCGACAATCTGGCTCGATTAGGATATGCAAGGAATCCGGGGTATTACGTCCTTGCTGATCCTCCTTTGGAAGCCCAACAAGCCCTCAATTACGATTTAGCCTTCACATAAGGCAGCCCATCCACTAGATCCTAGTGGTTTTCATTGTTGCCTAAAAAAAAGAAGAAAGAAACGAATGACACATTCAAAATTATCAAGACTGAAATATCTGTAGCATCTTTTATATTATATAAAAAATAACTTATAGAAAGAATATTTGGTCCATATAGAAATAACTAAAATCAAAATAAAATAACAGTTTTTTATCTAAACTAAAATTATAATATAAAAACAGTTAATATAATCTGAATTTATCCAAATCTCTCCTTAAAAACAAGCTAAAATCTTATTCGAACTCGTATCATACATGAAAGTAGGGAATTATAGACAATGAAATTATAGTTTAGGGATTAAAACCATAAAAACAGAATATAGGGACTTCAAACACAATTAAACCAGAAAAGGCCCATTCACACCTTGTTTCACGTAAAATAGATTTTGAAAAAAAAATTTGTTAAGAGAATTACGACATTCTGAGCTGAATTACGATATTCTGAGTTGAATGTCAATTTACTAACAACTATCATATTTCAATCATCATGTTAACGTCCAATTCATACGACCATCAATTTTTTAATGAAAAAAACAAGTTTAGAACATAGTGAATAATCGAGTAACCATATATTAACTTTTAATAGTTGAGGGACTATAGAAATCAATACTTTATAATTAGAGGATCATTTTATAATTTTTAATAGTTAAGAGACTTATTGAAATAATATCTTATAGTTGATTAATCATTTGTATACTTACTCAATATTATATTAATATTAAATATATAAAATAATATTATTTTAAATATTTATATTTTATAATTAAAATTTTAAAATTTGATTTATGAAACAATACCCTATAGTTGTTTGCTTCATCTCTTTTAGCTATTGTCAACCCCCAAAATACGGTAGGGGGATTCCCATATGCCATGAAACCCATTTCTTTTTCCCAGTCTCTCGCAGTCACCCCAATCCTCTCACGCGCCGCCGCTCCCGCTTTTTCACGTTGCTTGCAAACCCCTGGACTTAGGGTTTCTGGAATAACACAATTATCTGTTTGTTCTTTTTCCCTAGTTTTTATTGTATTTCGGTAGAGGTTTTATTAGGGTTTCGAAGAGGAAATCGACGAAGATGGGCAGCGTGGATCGAGTTGATGATTTGACATTTAAAGTTAATTTTAGCGGAGATGGAGCAGCCAAATTGAAAGATATAGTCAAGGAAAAACTCAAGGAGTTTATGGGCGATTACAGTGATGATACACTAGTGGTGCTTCCCCCCTCCCCGTTGTACTATCGATTATTGAGTTATTTGCATTTTCCCTGTTTTTTTTTATAAAACTGTGTGAATATTGTAATTTTGTTCTCTGAATTGTTGCATTGATCTTAATGTTGTTTCTGCATTTGTTTTTTATTCAATTAGGCAATGATAGAATGTTTTTGAGCGATATCAGTAGAATTTGAACTCTTCAAAATACTCAAGTTTGTTCCTCTTATTTTCATGTTCTATGTTCTTCCCAATAGTTTATGGCATTGATTAAAGGAAAAGGATTGAAGAGAAAGCGAGGAATTAAAAGGCATCATGATGCTTAATGTTTTGCTTAAGATTTCATGACTACGTGGATTTTCAAAAGCCCTTATTTTTTTTCTTTTCAGTTGTAAGTTTATTTGAAGTATATCTGGTTTTAATCTTTCCTATAACAATGTATCTCACATTAGGTGTAGTTTGACTAGCATTCTTGACCTTTCAATATTTGATGTTGTGCTCTGATTATATCCAATCTGTGTAATAGTTGGAATGCAGAAATTACCACATCTGTTGGAAACTATGAAAGATCATATATTCCAATTGGTTTTTAACCATATTCTCTCATTGATTTGATTTGCAGGAATATGTGATTGTCTTATTGAGAAATGGAAGACGTAAAGATGAAGCAATGAATGAGTTAAATGTTTTTCTTGGGGATGACAGTGATTCTTTTGTCACGTGGTATTTATATTATTTTTCCAACTATCATCTTTTGGAAAATAAGTGTTTATATAAACCTAGTTGTCAGGATTGTGCCCTACCTTATCCTTATATCTGATATTTTTAGTTTTCTTATGTTAGTGTGTGTATAATATTCTTATTTTTGCTTTTGAACAGGTTGTGGGCTCATTTGGCTTCAAATTTGGATGTATATGTTCCCTCTAAAGAACCTCATGTTGGAGGAGCCAGAACAGCTGTATTGGGGAATCAGTCCATTGGTGCTGGCTCTCACCAGTTGGATACTGATTCCGAAAGAGCAAAGACTACTAAGGTTTCCAGGAACCGACACAACAGGGAGTGGAAGGGACTGGTTAGGGATGCGGCTGATCCACCTCCTCTTCGGAGCTCTGTGGTTGAGAATATTCGTTTTGAAGAAAAATCCAGTCATAAAGTAAGCCTTGGAAGATCTACCTCTCCTTGTCCTACTCAGAAGAAAAGGAGTAGACCTGACGAGCGACATCCTATAAAGGTTTGAATTTCTAGGATCCATATTCATGACTAGTTGATGACCATTTACTAGAGTTTAGAGCGTATTGTTCTCCTTTATTTGGACAAATATATCCTTACAGAAATGATATAGATCAGATGGTATAGGGATAAATCCCATAATTGTCCTGAAGATCACATATTAGTCATTAGATACTTTTTTTTTGCTCTAACGATAGTTCAGAAGAGTTTGTTTCTTAATGAAATATTTTTGTGTAAATTGCATGGCAGTTTGATGTTGTGTCAAATTCCAATTATGTCTTTTTCATTTAGTTGACTATAGTCTTCTGATTCATGGATGAACTTTTATAGAGGGAAGCAGTTTCTCAGATGATGATTGATGCCCCTAGGCGCCTGCTTCAGTTTGCTGTGCGAGATGCAGTTGGAACTTTGAGGGCACCTGTTTCAGCAAAGGAGCCATCTTCCAAGCACCTTAGATCTGTTGTCTCAACTTCTTTTGGAGATTTGCCAGTTCACCCTCGGAGAATTCAGTCTGTTGCAAGAGTGGCAAATCCAATGGCCACAATGATCAAGGCTGTGGCAGAAGCTGCCGAAGATGTGACAAAGGTGAAAAATGCTGGAAGTGTTTTTGACAGGCTTGATCCTGGAACAGATGTTTTAGAGACTCATGTCTTACATCCAGAATTCAGAGAGTCTCTTCCCAAGGATGAGGAATATGGAGATCTTGACCAACCTTTGGGGAGAGCCCATTCGACATATTATCGAAGAGATGAGTATGGTGGTGGACATGGTGGTATCATAACTGCTTTAGAAAGTGAGACTGGGTTGGGTTCAGAGTCTCTGTCTGACAATGAATGGTATGATGATGATGGCCAAGGAGTTATGGACGTGTCTCGTACTGGTACATCAGGTGGAAACAAGGGTGATAGCTCACTTGTGGTGCACTACAATGTAGATAAGGATGATAAAATTTTACAAACAAGGAACAAAGATCAAAATCAATCTACTATAGCAGCAAATTCTCGTAAGATAGTTAACATTTCTGTCAATGTAAATACCTGGAAACCGCCTCATTATCAAGAGACAAGGAAGGTTTCAGAATTGGACAGTCGAAAATTTCTTCCAGAGAGTGAAACGGCTGCTAACAAATCTAATATTAGATTGATGGAGAATTACAACCCAGTTACTGTCTCTAATGGAAATGTAGGATTTTTCTTCCTATACTTATTTTCTCCTTTATTCTTTGCACTTGGGCTGTTGAATTTTACTTTTATTGTTAATTATAGGTTAAAAGTGCTGCTTATAACCAAGAAATCTCACAGAAAGCAGTGCAGCCTTCTTCCGGTGAGTTGCTTTCTATTGTTAGGATTGATTATTCGGCTGTTGGAATTGTCTTGTCTATTGTGACCTATATCTTGTTTCGATTTAACTCTTTCTTAATTTCTGTACAAATTTCATTCTGTTCTGTTGGTATTTTTCTTGCATTCTTAACATTTTATTTAAGTTTTGCCATTTTCTTTCTGCAGTTTCACATGCTGCTGGTCGTCCTTTAGAGGATGCTGATTCTCGAACCATTTTTGTGAGCAATGTGAGAAACCAAACTTATCTGTAGAGTTTAGAAGAGGATACATCTCCTTTACTCATTTTGACAATATATGGTGCTGTAACCATTGATAAGCAGGTGCATTTTGCTGCTACCAAGGATAGTCTTTCTCGACATTTTAATAAATTCGGAGAAGTGCTAAAAGTTGTTATAGTTACGGATGCGGCAACGAGACAGCCAAAAGGGTAAGTTGTTTGAAACACTTGTTCTGAATACATCAGTTTGTTTCCTCTGCATTTCTGTGGGGAACCCCTTTTTTTCTAAGGTGCAATGCCTACACAGGTCAGCTTATTTGGAGTTCATGCGAAAGGAAGCAGCAGCCAATGCTTTGTCTCTGGATGGTACATCCTTCATGTCACGAATTCTCAAGGTATTTAGTCCTTGTTCTCTGTTCTTTTATTCAACCTTTTTATTGAGTTTTACGTCCAACTTGCCATGCATATCGGTATTCCTCTACCTTTTTATTCAACCTGTTCAGTTTCCTTCTTGCTGAAGGTTGTGAAGAAAGCTTCTGCTCCTCAAGAAGCTGCTGCTCCTGTCATGACATGGCCCCGCATAGCTCGGGGTTCTCCATTTTCTGCCGCAAGGTTTGCTAGAGCACCTTTCGCCAGAGGTATGCCCGGTGCATTCAGGCCTCACCTTCCTATAAAACCTGGTGCAAGAAGCTTTCAGTGGAAGCGTGATGCTCAGGCATCTCCGTCCGATGCGGGTAATTTTCCTTCTCCTGCTGCCCGTAGTCTCACCTATATCCGAACGGAGCCCAAGTCGTAAGTCAATGCCACTACCTCCTAGTTCAGTAATCTCAATTTCTCAACATACCTCCGAGGTTTCATTGGTTTTCTATTTTTGGCTTTTTTTCTTCCCTATTGAAATGCTGTTAATGGACCTGTTGCATCCAGTATGCAATGATTCTTCGACATCTGGAGCTTAGAGAGGTATGTAATAGAAGCGGAAAAGTGGTGTTTTCCTTGGAAACTTTGCAACCTGAGGCATTGGCTTTTCTAGGTGTGGGAGGGGAATATGTCTAGCTTAGATTTGGTGTTGGCATTGTTTTTTCTTTTGAATTTTCATTAAACATTTGGTTATATATATGAAAAAAAAAGAGGAGAAAATAGAAGAAAACGATCCCAAAAAAGGAGCAAATTTAGTGTCTTGCCTTTCTTTTTGAAAGAAATTGATGGTGTTACTTGAATATTAAAATTCCGTCGTTTCTTGTTGTGTTGCTATTCCCTTAAATTTGAAATACATTTTACTGAAATATAAATATGTAATTTCTTGATCAATACAATAACATTATATATAATTGTAATTTAATTTAAATGAGAGTTCAATTTTAAATCTCAGCACAATATCCATAGTACATTCATCATATATAATTGTAATTTATTTTAAATAAGAATTCATTTCCAGATTTAAACACGTGGTTGGGTCTTTATTATATACTCTGGATTAATTTAAAAAAGTGATATTACCTTTTTATCTAAAAGAATATTATTAATAACTTCTCAAATACCGAATCTAATGCATATGATAGAAAAAGATCCGATAATCCTCAAATTTATAAGCAAGCAGAGTGGTGGCGCCGCCATATCAAGTGGCCGACGAGGGGCGGCAAAATCTGAAGATTAGTTTGCATGTATTTTCATTCCACAAGAAATTCACCATATTACATAAACAGAGCATCAAGCGCACACAAATAACCTGGACTACTAGCTGGCTGTATATATTATGAAAATCTATAAAATCTACCACAACCTGAGAGACCGTATCACAGCATAGCATAACCCCTACATACATATATATGATATATATATATATATATATATAGTATATAGTGCAGTTTTGGAGTGTTCCACTGATTAGAAGGGCAGCATCAAGCAATAAACACATTCAACAAACATTTATCATCCATCAATCACCCAGCATTGTCACCCCAAAACTGGTTTTCTACTTCTTTAAATATTAGAGATGCAGTTTTTATTGCATATAAACCATAGCATGCCCCCCATGATTCCAGCCTCTGGTTCCTCCTTTCCGCAATCCTGCATTCCCGGATTTAAAGATTCATGTTCTCAATCATGCAACATTACCCCAAATAGCGGAACTTGTTCAATATTTTTACCTTTTCAAACGGAGTGCAACACCAGAAACCGAAGAAGAGTTTTTCATTAAAAGCTGCATATAGGTCCTTGCATTATTTAGATATCCTGCCTGCATGCATGAAAATGCATTGGGAATCAATAGATACGCCTTGGAAACAAATGGGGTATTTTTCGGATGGAAATCCAAGGTTTCGCAATGGCTATATTAGATGTATTTGTAAGAGGATTACGACAATCAAACATAGAACACACTTGTAGTAGATATTGTGAACATTCACCCAATGTGCAAGTCACTGAGAAAGTCGGATAACCTGAAAAGAATCCTCAATAGAGTAAGAAAGAACGTAACAGATGAGGTATCGGACAAGTCTATATGAATAAAAGAAAAAGAACAAAAGTGGCACAAAAGCACCTAATATTCTTAGCTATGATGGTGTGCCCGTCTTCCGCTCCAAGATGGCGCAGAGCAACTTCCTCCAACTGACCATCTCGATATGCATGCTACAAATACATAATATCCATGAAAATACACTACAGAAAGTTTTGCCAGTAATGAAACCACAACACAAAAATAATACAAAGATGCAGGCCTAGTATTCAAATATAAAATCCTCGATCATTTTTGGAAGACGTGCACTGCAAACAAGGATGCTAAGAAAATAAAGATAACATTTTTTAAAGCCAATATATAGAATTATGATTTCATATACACAACATTTGGTCCAATGAACATTTCTTTATCCAGAACAGTCTTAGGAAAAACGTTTGATTTTTTAACAGACACAGAAAGCAGGAGGCGCATGACAAAAAAATCCATAAAAAAGTACAAATTCAAGGACTGCAAGGCAATACCCTTACACCTTAATATCCTCACACAGCCTCAGACTAATGTAAACTGTGAAGAAAAGTAATTCAAACTCTAATAACTTAATCTGGAATTCAATACTAATTTGAAATGTTTGAAGTCTTAACAAGACAGTCTTGGATAAAAAAGGAAGCAGCCTAAAGAAACACCAATGCTATTAAATTTCCATAATTCCAGCAAAATGGAACACACTTAATTTTAGGAACTTAATAGTGAAAATCCTCATCGCTTGAGGGGTCACTCGATTCATAATCTAGCTGCATTAAAAACAAGGCCATCTCCAAAGATATATCATCGTTTTCCAAATCTTCAGCATCAAAAATATTCATTTCATCTTGTTCAATTAAGTGCTCGAAGACATCAAAAATTGTGTCCATATCTATATCATTGGATCTGCGGGGAGGTGGCCTGTTGCATTTCCATGCATAAGAACCTGGCTTGACCGTATGCTGGAAGTCAACACAAGCATCCATTAAAAGAATAGTAAAACTAACACTCTCATGACTAAAGTAAATTGCATAAAAATGAACAAAACAGGAAGGAGAGATTACGCTAAGGGAAACAAAATCTTGAAGCATCGTGCAATTTGCTAGTGAACTTGTGATTAGTGTATTTGTAGCAAAGGGGTAGAGAAATAGAGAAGGCAGGAACGAGGAAGCCATATAAACAAACCAAAATGCCTCTAAATTCAAACACAGTCCTTAATTTATCATCCATTGTCTTCCTCTCTGATGATTAGTCCTTTACAAAAAATCACATTTGGTGCATTACAATCTTTCCTTGCATCAACTTGGTTCAGATCTCGACCATGATTTATCATCATTGCCATCCCGATTAGTTTTGCCCAAATCATTCACTGCTCTCATACTTGTTCCTCTTACCAAATATCAGTAGCCATTTTATTCAAGAAAACTGTCATAAAAGCTTGTGGTTGTAAAATGTTGTTGGAGATAAAAATAATTTTTTATTCCTACACTAGCCTCTTCAGATAGAAGTCCAATTGTTTGATATACCGGTAGATATTTGGCTAAGAAACTGCTCAAAGATTGAGCAACCATAGTGACACAACGAGAGAAGAATAACCATAAACACAGAAAAGCAGAAAATGTAGAATTATAACATAGGATCACTTCTAAAATGCTTATAGTAGTTGATACTTAATAGGGTATGAAACAATGCAAATTTGGAAGAAGGAATGCACCATTTCAAAAAACCTGAATAAATAGGCAATTATTACCTTGTAGAAACAACTATTCCCAAAAGGGCAGTTCCCATTACCAAAGTTGAAGTGCTTGCAGTCTATTGACCTGAAGATAAAAAATAAAAATATAAAAATGGATTTAATGGTTTGAATAGCAAATTTACAGATTTCTACTTGCGCAAATATAATTTATGCTCGTCAAATAATTAAAATATTATACAATACATGAGACAGATATTATAAATCACCCAAACAAACCCTTCAACCGTATACACAAATTTGAGAATTTAAATAAATTCATAATTCATGTGATGAGTGTACGCAGGAAATAAAGAAAACATGGAAACTGAAGTGGTGCTACCTCAGTTTTGCCTTGTAGCTATCAACAATTTCCTTCTTTTCTTCTGGAGTGCTATACCAAATAACACTTGGGATGACAAAATATGATAGCTTGCGACAGATTGGGCAAGTCCTTAATGCAGTATTAACATCCATCCCAGACGATGGGGAACTGCTACGCCAATTTCTAATACAGGATACGCAAAACGGATGATCACATTCTGAAAGCAACCCAAACTTCCGTTCAGCTGCTGTGAGCTTCATGAGAACACGATCCAGGCACACACTGCATTCTATTTCTTGACTATATTTCAATGCCTCAAGGTGCTTTTGCTTTTTCTCACACATTTTTATATGTTCCTCCCTTTCTTCAGGTCTGAAAGGATGCAAACAATGTTTCCCACAGGTGGTACACAAGTCTCCATGAATATGAGGACATTTTTCTCCACGGGGGCAATTACCAGCTGAAGCGAATGAGCAGATGGAACGATCAGCTACATTGCCACTCCTAGGCTCCAAAACATCACCATCATCAGATAGATCTTGATGTACAGATTCCAAATTCCATGCGTTTCTGGCGGGAGGAAGGAACCCTCCATTGGAACCAGGAAACTCTGGTGAAGTAGCTGAAAGTACAGCAGAACCACGAAATGTGCTTGTTGAAGGACCTAGAGGAACAGAACCCGGTATCCCCCCTTGGCGAGGCTTTGTTGACGAAGATGAAGCAGATAAATCCGATTGGGAAGCCTTAACATGTTCATATCTGCACTGACTACCGTATGAACAGATTCCTTTTGATAGTATGTGCAAATCTGCAAATGCCAAGGATGATGAAACAATAAGTAACGAAAGAGGACCAGCAGCAGGTAAAGATAAAACAGAAAGGTCAAAGGGAACTTCCTACATTATTTGGCGGATCCTTCCAATCATGGGAAAACTCACAGTTCTCCCCTTTGAAGCATGCTCCATGAGCAAAGAACTTACAGAGAACCCTGAAACATAACAATTTTTTTTAAACCATAATCGAGAATTCACGGAAATTAGTAATTTCAATACATATATCTCCAACATCCAACTAAACAGTTCATCATTCCACTTCATCGATACACCAATTTCATTTAAAATTTCAGGGAAAAAAAATCAGTAATATCAACGCGCAGAACACGCTTATAATCATTAAAAAACAAATTGCTAGCAAGAGAAAAAAAACACATGGCATAGAGAAGTAATCGTCAGATACACGAAAACAAAAATTGAAAGCATCATCGAAATCATCGTCAAATACCCACAAAAACCCAAATTACGATTAAATTGAAACGGAAAATCGATGATCGGGGGAATGATCAAATGAGTTTTCACCTCTTAGTCTTAGGCATGGACGAAATATCTAACGGCAATGGATTGAGAGGGGGAATGAAAGAAGCCAAAGGAATTGAATTTAAATCGTTGAATTTATCTGTTGCAAAAAATACCAAACAGCTTGAATGATAGGTGAGGGAGGGGAAGCGAAATTGAAGCCCCAAACACAACATTTAGATTAACGTAGCAGCCTAGGGTTTTTCCTTTGGGTTTCCGTATTGAAAGGGCCCATGAATTTTGGCATAATTGCGGGAATGACCCCTTCTGGATTCCTCTTTAAGATTCAAGGCGTAATTGTAGTAAGCAAGCGATTAACATCTCTTTTTTTTCTGAATTAATTATTATTAATTAAGGTTTGAGAAATAATCAATAAATAAAATACTTACTAATTACATTTCATGGTATAAATAAATAAATAAATGTATTCATGTCTGATTTGCTTGATTAATTTTTTATTAAATTGATTATAATTTAAATTAATTGACCTGATTGAATTAAATAATTTGAATTGATTTTACCGAATCGAATTAAAATTAATAGGTTTACTCGGCTAATTGATTTAATTTTCTAAATAAAAACTTTTCAAAAAAATTAAATTATTAGTTAAATAACATATTATATAATTAAAAGAAAAAAATAATTAATTTGATATCAATTCAATCACAAAATGTTATATACAAAAGATTATATTAAAATCATCATAATCGAAAGTCGGACAATAGATTGATCTTACTTCTCTTTATAAAAATCAGCTTCAATGCAACCGCAATTATTATTAATTATGATAAATTACGTGTTTAGTATCTAAATTTTCAGTTTTGATATGTTTGAATACCTAAACTTTTAATTTTTTAAAAACTATACCTAAAATATATTTTTTATTTCATTTTAGTACTCTACCATTAAAAACTATAGTTTTTGTTTCATTTTAGTACTCCCGACCAAAATTTAATGTTACGTTTTAAAAAATTGAAAGTTTAAGTACTAAAACAGACCAAAACTGATAGTTTATGTTGTAAATGTGTTAAGTTTTTAACATCGAGACACTAAAATGAAATGAAAACTAAACTTTAGGTATGATTTTAAAAAAAATTGAAAGTTTAGGTAATAAAACAGATAAAAACTAATAGTTTAAGGACTAAACACATAATTTACCCTATTAATTATGATTTGATTTTTAAAGCCAAATTCTATACAACAAATTCTGCATAAATACGCAGGATGCTTTAACACGTGAGAAAATGATAATGCATCCTAGTCAGGTGGTAGTATTTAACACTAGCTAAGTCCAGTTTTCCAGTTTGCAGAGAAGTAGAAGCAGTCTTCCTTGTTTTAGGAAAGGACTTGAGATCTTCGTTATGAAAAATGTCGCAACTTGTTCTGATCCACACTGCAAAAGTTGGTATTGAGGTGAAGCCATTATTTAGTCATTGGTCTCCCGCGAGAGTGGTCGGCTATGAAGCATGAGGACGACAAAAGAATCCCGTTTCAAGTATTCTGAGGATATTCCAGGGACGACATGTAATTGTTAAAGGAACAAAGTAGAAGATGAATCGAAGCGTATTTTTATTGAACATGATTGAAGGGTTTATATAAGAAGAATCCCAATCGAATTATATTATCAACAAGAAAAGATGAAGTAAATAAATTTAAAAATCAAATGAAAAATAACAAAAGATAATAACAAATCAATGACCAATATTGTGTCTTTGCACCCCGCAAGTTGGAAGTGGAGTCAATAACGCCTAACTTGGAAAAATGACGATGAAAGGTAGCTTGAGAGATTCAAAGGCTAAATGTAGCAGTATGTTGAAGATATAGTAAAATACGTTTGAGAGCTATCCAATGAGACATTGTAGGTTGGTGCACAGCCTAAGAGAGACGATTGATGGAAAATGCAATGTCCGGACGTGTAAAGGCCAAGTAATGTAACCTGCCTATGACACGACTATAAAGAGAGTCATCAACTGAAGCATCTTTAGAAGAAGGTTCAAAAACAGTGGAAGGAGTCATCGGAGTGGATACACCCTTACATGTGTCCATGCTAACTTCTTGTAACAAGTCCAAAATGTATAAGAAAAGACCATCATAAGAAAATAGTAGGCCTAGGCTTAATTTGTATTATTTTAAATTTAAAAGGGACCTAAAAGAAAATATAGATGGAGGTGTTATGATCTAATAAAATGGATCTGAGTTTATTTGCTACGTCATCAATTTAAAATTGAAAAAGAATGAGTTATGTTTACTTTTAAAATTGAAAGGGACTTATAAACTAGAAAAATGATAGATCAATCCTTAATTTGTCTAGTTTCAAAACTTTAGGACCCAAAAAGAAATTGTAGCAAAAAACTGAGGTGTTCTGGGGTTGGGATCTAGTTCACCTACTTTCAAACTAATAGGACCTAAAAAGCAATAAAATCCAAAAAAATAAAGAAAACGACACCTTGATTTACCTAATTTTAAAGTTAGAATGAATCTAAAAATAGTTAAATCCAATTTTTTTTTAGGACCGACCCTTCCACGTTACAAATAACTTTGTTCATGAACATGATTAAGATATATGTTTCAGTATGTAAATGATAATTTAATTTAGCGAGTTCAATTGATTTGATATTTTATTTTAAAATGAGCTCGAGTTACAAAAGTGAATTTTTGTTATTTTTTAGGTCTCGTGTTCAAGTATTAGAACGGTTAGGGGTATAAATGTTCAATGTAATGATCATTTTATAATTTTTAAAATTTTAATAGATAAAACGATTATTTGAACATAATTTAGACTTCTAGTATACTTTACCCTTTTGTGTATGTGGTATCCTTTTACTTTGGGCCAATCTGAGACTATTGGGCTTCATAAGTCATCTGCTACTAGATCTGTATCTTGCTGATATATTAAATGGTTTTTAATTTTTAATTAATATTGAAATATTATCGATGCAAAATTGCATAGTACTATTTTTAATTAATTATGAGAATTAAAATTATTTTTATTGATTTAATAAATTTGAATAATCTAACAATTTTTCAGTAGCTTGTGTAGTTAAATCTTTCTGCGTATGATGGAGAGTCCATATTGAAAATAAATAACATATTTATTACATTGCAACTAGATATCCTGCACATTTGGTTATATTATTTAATACTTCTATATCTATACCAATAATTAAAAATTATTCATGTCATCTTCTTTAAATTAATATTTTGAGTTTAGTTCAAGTAAACAATTCATCTTGTGAATTGACAACCTTAGTAGGACATCAATAAAATTAAGGGTAAATTATTGAAATAAAAAAATTTTATTTTATAAATATTTAATTTTATCAATGAAATACGAATTAAGTGATATCGATAATAAAATAATTATTGTTATTTATTGAAGTCTCAGGTTCAAGCACCGTGAATGTTAGGGTGTGAGCATTTAATATCAAATGATTGAGAGATATATTTGAACATATATTACATTGTGCTTATCATAAATTAATAAAAAATTATCGAATTATAAAATAATATTTTATTTGTTTATATTATTGAGTTATAATATTTTAATCATTGGAATGTTTTGTTAAGTTAATTTGATAAAGTGCACAATAGTAAAAGATATAATTTTTAATTTAATTATTAAATTTAGATAAAATATTAATTTGACATCTAAATTTTAGATACAATATTATTTAGACTCATGAATTGAATCAATATGTCGTAGTTCACCACCACCATCGGTTGTAGTTACTTACTATTGGACTTTAAAATTTTGTATTACTTATTTTTTAAAATTCAAAAACATTTATAATTATTAGTAATAAATCGAATAATTTATCATTTTAAAATACAGTAAAATGCACAAATGGTCCCTTGATTATATAATATCATTTTGTTGAATCGTTCGACTATTAAAAGTTACAAAATGATCCTTAAACTATATATAGTTACTTTGTTGAGTCTCTCGACTATTAAAAGTTTAAAAACGGTCACTCGACTATTCATTATGTACCAAACTCGTATATTTTCGTTAAAAAATTAATGATCGTATGAGCTGGACATTAACATGTTGACTAATATATGATATTCGTTTAAGATTATTAGATCAGATTTTATCATACCTCATTCAGCAGGTTAACGTCTAGCTCAGATTATCGTATTTTTTGTTAAAAAAAAACGAGTTTTGCACATAATGAATAGTCGAGTGATTGGTTTTTAAGGGCGCAGGGCACACCAAGACTCAAAAAGGTTCTTGAAGCCTAGGAGCAAGGAATAGGTATGCACCTTTTGTATGTGAGGCCCACCGTTTGTATTATGTACAAATATAATAATCAAATTTAATTTCAAAGGAAATAATGAAATATCTAATTATTTTTTTAATTATATAATTTTTTGTTTAATTAGTTGATATTAAAATTTATTATTATAAATAATAAATTATAATGATTTGTATTTAAAGTTATATAAGTATGGTATATTAATAAAAATTTAGAAAAAAATATTACTGTAAACAATTTTTTTGAAATAAGAAAATAATAAATTAGTATGAGCATATTATAAAAATAATTATAAAAATAGTTATACATATTTCTTATTTATCTATATATTAAATATTTATTTTTATTTTAATTATATTTAAATATTAATTTACTATATTATAGGTTATCTTTATTACATTAGTATATAATAATAAAAATGTGAGGAGACAAACAGGAAGTCTTACGTGCTTTAGCTTAATATACAACTAAAAAAAGGTGTTATCGTAAATGTTATTATTTTTTTAATATTTTGATAAAAAATTATCTAAAATATTATTATTTATAAAAATTTACTTATAATCATACCATAATTTAAACCTATAATCCTACATAAAAAATATCTAATATATTTTCCTACTAAACCAAATGATTATTGACAGATTTATTATTAGACCAAAATAACAACCCAAAAGAACAAGATAGGGTGAGATGCAAGAAACGGTTAAGGTGGCTGAAGCGGCGCTTAAGCAAAAAGTTTAAAAAGCGGTGGGAGTGATGAGCTTCTTCTGCATCGCTCTGCTTCGGCCTTCCAAGGTGTTTTTCTTTGCTCCCATAAACGTCTTACACTGGGTCACGTTTAAGGCGACAAATTTAACAAAAGAATTTCTTATAATTAAAAATTTATTTTATAATTTTTATAATTAAAAGATTAAAAAATATAATTTTAAAATTAAGAGACCATTTATGTCCATTACCCTTTCAAATAAACCTTTTAAAAGACAGAAACCCGTGTATGTAAACACTTACTTTTACTTTAGGCTTAGCACTGTTTTACGCCTGCGGATGATGTCCCAACGTTGTTCCCCCGCCAAGGTTCTTGAAGATGGCTGCGTATCTCCGCCGCCAGGCACGGTAATGGAAACCGCCATCCCCACCACTTTCTTCGACACTATTTGGCTTTCCCTTTATCTCGCTCAACGCCTTTATTTCTATGAATATCCGCACCCAAGTTCCCATTTCATGCAAAACGCTCTTCCTCGTCTTAAAACCTCTCTCTCCCTCACACTACAACGTTTCTTTCCTTTTGCCGGCAATCTCCGGTTTCCGCCACCGCTTCAGAGGCCGTATATTTTCTTCACCGACGGCGATTCGATACGCTTCGTCGTTACCGAGTCCGATGCCGACTTCAACCATCTTACGAGCGATCATGCACACAACGCTCAGGATTTACAAGCTCTCGTCCCGAATCTGCCGCCGTCGACGACAATGGAGACCGATGACTTCAAGCAGCTCCCTCTCATGGCCGTTCAAATCACTATCTTCCCAAACACAGGGTTTTCGATCGGTATCGCTTTCTGTCACGTAGCAGCTGATGGCAAGGCGTTTACTCATTTCACAAAATCATGGGCGGCAGCTTGTAAATCACTAGAGGACTTGAAATTTCTCGACAATATTCCTCCACCCGATCATAATAGGGATTCAATCCAAGATCCTAAAGGGATTTGGTCCTTTTTTGTCGAGCAATTCCGCGAGCTCAACTCGGATTTCTCCGGCCACGTAATAAACCAAACCGACAAGGTACGAGTCACGTACAGAATTAGCAGAGCCAACGTCGAGTCACTGAAAAAATGGATCGAAACAACAAACGACAGTGAATCAGAGCAGCTGAGATTATCAACGTTCGTGGTGACTTGCGCTTACGTTTGGGTTTGTTTTATAAGAGTAGAAGAAGCGAGGGAATCACCATCCGACGACGACGATACAATCTGCAACTTCCTCTTCAGTGCCGAATGCAGACATCGCCTGAAACTTCCATCGGAATACTTCGGGAACTGTCTTAAACCGTGTATTTTATCAGCCAAAAGGGCCGAACTGCTCGGAAAAAACGGGATTCTGGTTGCCGTAAAGGCCATCGGAAGGGCAGTGATGGAGTTGGATAAAGGTCCATTGGGAGACGCCGATAAATGGATCTCGAGAATGAGGGAAGTGTTATCGAAGTCTAAACACAATGTGGTCGCCGTCGGATCACCGAAGTTGCTGGTCTACGAGACTGATTTCGGGTGGGGAAGACCGAGAAAAACCGAGGTGGCTCACATCGGTTCTTCCGGGTCCTTCGTCCTCGCCGAGAATAGGGATCCGGAAGTCGGTGGCGTTGAAATCGGCTTTCTTTTTCCCCCGATTCAATTGCCCAAATTCAAAAGTATTTTTGAGGATCAACGGTTGAATTTCAACATCTCTTGATGTCGATGCCTGCTGTAGCCAAATGCTTCTCTTGTCAATCATCTCAATGCATTAGTTGTAATTTACTTTTTTTTTATTTAATTTTAAGATTTTATCTTCATTAATCTCAATCGTTTCCGATTATATATTTGATTTTAATGAATAAATCTCTCAATGATTATTTTACATATACAAAAGCTCAAATATTTTTTTGAATTAATCACTGGTATCTAATTTATTAATCGATTAATTCAGATCGGATACTGCAGAGGTGAGGACAACCTTCCTAACTCAATTTGTTATATTCGCAAACGCCATAATTTGAATATCTGACCTTACTTAAAGAATTTAATGTCTCATCTACTAGACCAACTATTTCACGTATGAATTATATGTAAAAGATTTAAACTACAATTTGCATTTAATTAAACTATTTCACGCATGATTGATATGTAAAAGATTAAACTGTATTATTTTTTTTATGGATAAGCTTTGTGTTCTTTTTATTCATGCAGCAGAACATCCTACATCAACAGTGTCCCCATATAAAAGGACACTGACAAATCAACAGAGCATCTCAAATACAGACACTAAAAAATACAAAAGGACACTAACAAATCAACAGAGCATCCAAATAAAAATTAATTTATCTTATTCTCGTATGTAATGTGATAGGAAGAAAGTATAGTAGAAATATAGTAATATATTATTTTAACGTTAAGTTGAGAACAATTTTCGTAAAATATCTTCAATTATAAATTGTTCACAATCAGAATACATACACTAAAAAATACCCCACTCCATACAGAATTTCCTATTCACAAAGTCCAATCTATCAAAGGACTTTCTCTTGATTTTAATTTTAACTATATATAATAGTATTCAAAATCTATCCTATATTCTTTCCTCCCTACCACAATATATGTGACCCCCCTATGCTATCTTTAAGATAAAAGTAATCAGAGATTTACCCTTCAGAGTCCAATTCCCTCTCCTAACACATCACCCCTCCAGACAAGTTACGGTGAAATTGGTCCAATAAATCAGGCGATTAAAAAGTTGGCCTATTAAGCCCTTCTAAAATTAATTTCGGAAGTACGCCAAATATTATCGTGTAAGACAAATTCTTGAAGTACATATGATGAATTTATCTAAATAATATTTTTATTTAAATTCGTCATATAAAAATGACAAATTTCAAAAAAAAATTATAATTTTTACTATAATTTTGTCATATTATAGTGATAAGTTCTGATAAAAAATATATTTTATGAAAACTCGTCATATCCACGTGACAAACTTTAAATTACCGTGACAAATTTCGTAATTTCGAAAATAAAAAATATGATATTAAGTTAAATAATTAATATGTCGGCCGATTTTACCGATAACATGTACCATTCAAGGATCTCGCTCCAAATGCCCCTTGAAAACGAGCATTCAAAAAACAAGTGTCCCCTGTAGGGCTGTAAATGAGACGAGACAGATCGCGGGCTATTCGAGATCGACTCGATAAAGGCTCGATAAATATTCGGGTCGAATGGACTCGAGCTCGAGCTTGAGTTTGACTCGAGTTCTTAACGAGCCGAAACGAGCTACTCGATATTCGACTCGAAAATATCGTGAGCAGCTCGAAAAAAATGTTATATTATAATTTTAGATTTTTTAAAATTACATTATAAAAAATTTATTAAAAATACATTATTGATAATTATAAAATTTTAAAAATATATTAAAATTTCTATAATACAACTACCCTCAAAATTTAATTTTTTCAATTAAGCAACCCAAGTCCAATTGTTATATTGTATATTACTAAAAGAAAAATAAAAATCCATTTAATTAAGCATATGTTAGATTACACCCTAAATCCTAAACTTAAACCCTAAACCCTAAACCCTAAACCCTAAACTATAACCTCTAAACCTTAATTCCCAACCCCTGAAATATAAACCATAAACCATAAGCCCTATACCCTAAACCCTTAATCTAATTATATGATAGGATACTAAAAAAATAAAAGCACATTTAATTAAGCACATGTTAGATTACATCTTACATTCTAAACTTAAACCCTAAACTATAAAGCCCAATCCCTTAACATTAAACTCTAAATCCTAAACCATAAGTCATAAACCCTTAATACGATTATGTGATAGGGATTAAGTGCACATGATAATAATGCATTACATACAATGATAGATTGGATCTTGATAAAAAAATTAGGGATGTACTTAATATTTAAAAAAAAATAGAAATATAAATTAGATGAGACAACTGAAAACTTACCACAAATAAACCCCATTATGATCAACATGGGTAGTTGCTAAAATATCCATATTTGGACTTTTCTCATTGGATTTGTTTACTTTTCTCATTTTATCATGTTGTATTATGGAAATAACTATAAATAGTAGGTGGTACAGTAGATACAGCTTTTAAATATTTCCCATCAAAACCCCCTCACCAAACCTCGCCATGAAACATTAAAACAGTTATTTATTTTTTAGATTAAACTTTGAAAAAGAGTTAACTTTTAAACCTTGGAATCCAATTTCCTAAGCCTCTCAGTTCTGCTTAAGGTGAAGATGAAATGTCTTGTTGTAGTCTTACTCCATTTTTTATTTGGCTCTTCGTATCTTTATCACTTTCGACTGCAACCAAAGCTAAAGTCCCAGCCATCATAGTGTTCGGAGATTCCTCCATGGATTCGGGAAACAACAATGTGATTTCCACGCTTTTGAAGAGCAATTTTCGGCCTTATGGCCGTGATTTTTACGACGGTCAACCAACGGGAAGCTTCTGCAATGGCCGAATATCTCCCGATTTCATCTCCGATGCTTTTGGACTGAAGCCAACCATCCCAGCTTACTCGGATCCAGCTTACAATATATCCGATTTCACCACCGGCGTTTGTTTTGCTTCCGCCAGAACTGGTTACGACCATGCAACCTCCAAAATGCTTGCCATGAAACATTAAAACAATTATTTATATTTTTGTCTATTTTTGTCTTTTGGTGCGAAAAGGACGGGAAGTGTCGACGTTGGAACAATAGTCTTTTGGTGGTTTTTGTTGGATATATGAACTGCAAAACTACACCGTTAGCACTGACTGAAAATATAAACAGTAATTAAGAAGAACAGATTCGTAAACCGTGTCGTGGTAAGAACCACTGCCTTAGAAACGAATTCGCCTCGATGTGTGTAATCGCTGCAGTAGGCGGACCGTCCCCCGAGGTTAACACGGTCGCTCCGAATTCCGTACACCCGAAACCGGAGTGGACTGCTGGTGGTATTGCACTTCTGATCGGAAAGCACTCAGAGAGAACTCACAGAGAGAACTTTAGAAAACACTTTGGTAAGTGAATTGTTAATGTTTTGGAGTGAGTTGAGAAGCTGAATATAGCTCTCTATTTATAGGCTAGAAATAGGGTTAAAGTCGTCCATAAAATTTCAGGATTAAACCTCTTATTTGTAACAGCTGAAACGACTAGATGAACCTGACTCAGAAATAGTCCAGGTTCATTGTATCATTATTCAGCTGTTATAACTCCCGAAATTATATCATGTAACCCCTGGAATTAAATCAAATAACTCCTGTAACTCCTGATATTAACAGCTTGTCTCCTCTGTACAAAGCTGTAAATCAGTCCAGGTACATCTTAACGTTTCTGATTTAATTTAGGAATAAACTGTTTAATTTCTGATAAAAAATAATTCAGCTGTTATTATTTGAAATTCAAACAGTCCTCAGCAGCCTATAAATATCAGTTGATATCTTTCACATTTTCCATTTGTTTCTTTCAAAGAGAAATTCCTCAAGAATTTTCTCTAAAAAGATAGTATCCGCGCGGACGTGTCGAAGACACGTATTACCACGACCACGACCACGACCACGACCTCGACTCGACCTCGACCACGACCACGACCACGAGCCGAGCCGAGCCGAGCCGAGCCGTGCCGTGCCGTGCCGAGCCGAGACGAGACGGACGGACGGCGGCGGCGGTGCGCGAGAGCCCCCCTTGTTCTCTATCACTCAACAAGGAAGTGGAATGTCAAGCCTTAAATACCATTCCCAATAGTGTTTCCAACACTATGTGGGATTGAGCATTACCAACATTCCCCCACTAATGCGAAAGAAATCTTCTGAAACTCGAAAACAAGCTTTCCAGAAGAGTAATAGCGAGATTAGTTGCTTAAGCACTAGTGAACATATCTGGAACTAGTACATAGTGATGATGAGCAATCCTTCTCTTAGATAAGTGAAACTAGTCTGGAACTTTCTAAGATCAGGGTAAACTCATAACACACAACTAACCCCTTCATCCACCTGAGTCCTCGATGTGTAAGATATACAAAAGTATATATTTGGCCATCTTACCTCAGGATTCTAGTAAGTGTGCTAGAAAAATAGCCCAACATTTTTCATAGAAGGCGGCTAACCCTTCTCACTTACATAGGTTATTTCATCAAGTTTATCTCAACATAAACCACCCTTTAAAAAGGAATATGAAATAATTAAGAGCTTTTATAATAGCTCAACCTCACAAAGGGTATGGTGACTTTTTTCAAGTTCATTATAAATGAACCACCCAAACTCTGGGCTAAGAAGTCATTAAGAATAAATATTCAACCTCATTTATCGGTAAATTCAATAAGTCCTTCTCACTAGAACCATCCAATACTTGGATTTGAATTTATTAAGAGTTTAACAAACTCAACCTTTCTGTCGGTAAGTTCATCATTTCCTACCCACTCACTCTGGGTTATGAACTTATTAAGAATAGATATTCAGCCAAAATCGGTAAATTCATCAAGTCTTTCTCACTAAGACCACCCAAAGCCTGGGCTATGAATTTATTAAGAGCAATTAAGCTCATCCTGGGCATGCACATTATTCATCATAGGGATAGGCAGTAGGAATGTGCACTATGAGTCTTTCCATGGTTTCGTTTGACCACATGGAACTTAGATAACTAAGTTGGGTATCCACCATGAATTCCTCAACCAATGGGCTTTAGACCCATCCCCCTCGACGAATCTAGGACCAGCTTCCGACTTAACCCTTTGGTAAGTGGATCTGCTAGGTTCCTTTCCGACTTCACATACTCTAAAGAGAGCACTCCATTCTTTATCAAGTGTCTAACTGATTCATGTCTTATGCGAATGTGTCTTTTCTTACCATTGTAAGCTTGGTTCTTAGCCACACATATCGCAGCTTGTGAATCACACAACAATGAAACTGGAGGAGTCGGTCTTCCCCACAACGGAATATCTGCTAACAAGCTTCTGAGCCACTCGGTTTCTTGCCCAGCTAGGTCAAGAGCTATAACTCTGACTCCATGGTAGAACGAGCAATACAAGTCTGCTTTGATGATTTCCACGAGATCGCTGCTCCACCCAAAGTAAAAACATACCCGCTCGTAGAGCTTACCTCATCATTATCAGAAACCCAGTTGGCATCACAATTCCTTCCAATACCGCAGGAAAGCCAACAAACTCAAGTTTCCAATTCACAGTACCCTTAAGATACTTCAGTAAGCGTTTAAGCGCAATCCAGTGCTCACCACTCGGATTATGAGTATATCTACTTAGTCTACTCACAGCATAAGCAATATCAGGCCGAGTATAGTTCATTAAGAACATTAAACTTCCGATTAATTTAGCATATTCAGTTTGGGAAACACTACTTCCTTTATTCTTAACTAGATGTATGCTAGGGTCATAAGGAGTTCGAACAGGGACGACATCAAAACTGTCAAATTTCTTTAGCACTTTCTCTATATAATGTGCTTGACATAAAGAAAATCCCTTCTCAGTTTTGGTAATTTTGACTCCTAAGATTACATCTACTTCTCCCAAATCTGTCATCTCAAACTTAGTGGACAAGAAATTTTTAACTTTGTTAATGGACTCAATGTTAGAACTGAAATCAACATGTCGTCAACATAAAGACTTATGATAACACATTCAGTTTCAAACATCTTCGAATACACACAAGCATCCGAACCATTCACAACAAAACCAAAACTAAGAATAGTTTTATGAAATTCTCATACCACTGTTTAGGAGCCTGCTTAAGTCCATAGAGTGACTTTTTGAGTCTACAAACTTTGCCTTCCATACCAGGTGCCTCAAAACCTAGTGGCTGCTCCATGTAAATCTCCTCATCTAGATCCCCATTCAAGAAAGCAGTCTTAACATCCATTTGATGTACCTGCAACTTATGAATAGAGGCTAGTGCAAATAATGCACGAATCGTTGAGATTTTTGTAACGAGAGAGTATGTATCAAAGTAGTCTAAACCAAACCTTTGAGTGAACCCTTTGACGACTAACCTTGCCTTGTATCGCTGAATCGAACCATCTGGCCTTAGTTTCTTCCGGAAGACCCATTTGTTGGAGATTGGTTTGAATCCCTTAGGCAAGTCAACTAATTCCCAAGTATGATTAGACATTATCGATTCTAGTTCATCATTAACAGCGCTTTTCCAAAAACTAGCATCGATAGATCTTATAGCTTCTTCAAAGTTTTAGGATCCTCATCTAATAGAAAAATTTGAGCTATAGGATCTGAAATGAAGTCTAAATCATTTATCTCAGAAATAAAGGAAGTAATAAAATCTGGTCCAAAAGAGGTTTCAACTCTTTGCCTTTTACTTCTTCTAGGCTCAAAATCATTTGTTCAGAAGACCTAGCAGGTTTACTAGAAGAAGTTGATGGAATATATTCTATTTGTGTTTCAATATTTATTCTCGGTTCCTTTAAAGGAAAAGTATTTTCAAAGAAAACAGCATCTCTTGATTCACAAATAGAATAATCTTGTAAAAGCATGAATCTGTATGCAGCACTATTCGTAGCATACCCTATAAACACTGCATCAACGGTTTTAGGTCCGATGGTGAACTTCTTAAAGTCTGGCAAGCCACTTTAGCCAGACACCCCACACTTTCAGGTATTGTAAATTAGGAGCGTATCCTTTCCACAATTCATATGGGGTAGAATCTAATTTCTTATGAGGAACTCGGTTCAAGATATGAGTTGCCGATAGAATGGCCTCCCCCACATGTTATCAGATAACCCAGAACTTATTAGTAAAGAATTCATCATCTCTTTTAAAGTTCTATTTTCCTTTCGACTATACCATTCTGTTGAGGAAAATAGGGGGCTGATGTTTCATGAATTATGCCATTCTTTTCACAAATATCTTTTAAGAAATTAGATCCATATTCACCACCTCTATCAGATCTAACTCGTTTGATTCTCCTATCTAACTGATTTTCAACTTCTGCCTATAATAAGAAAGAAGTTTTCAGCTTCATCTTTAGTTCTTAGGAGATAAACTTTTGTATATCTTGAATAATCATCTACAAAAGTTATGTAGTAGTGTTTCCTCCTTTACTTTCAGTGTTTCTAAAATCTGCTAGATCAGTATGAATGAGTTCTAACAGTTCAGTCTTTCTATTAGAAACAGTCTTAAAGTGAGGTTTAGTATGCTTAGCTTCTACACAAATCTCACATTTGTTAAAGCTAGTTGTGTCTAGTTTAGGCAGAACATTCATATTCATTAATTCTTTAAAGCATGAATATTCACGTGTCCTAATCTAGCATGCCACATATCAATGGATTCAACATATAAGCAGAAGTGGTAGCTTTATTTTCATTAAATTGAGTTTCTATGACAAATAAACCATTGCTTAAAACCCTTTCCCCACATAATCACCATTTCGGGAAAGTACAAGTTTATCTGCCTCAAAAACTAACTTAATGCCTGCCTTATTCAGAAGCCCACCACTTATCAAATTTCTACGCAAGGCAGGTACAAACAGAACATTATTTAAAGCCAGAGTTTTACCAGAAGTCAGCTTGAGTAAAACCTTGCCTTTGCCTAGCACTTCAGAGCTGCTAGAGTTCCCCATGTACACACGTTCACCAGTGTTTCCATCCTCGAACTCAGTGAAAAACTCCTTCCTTGCGCAGA